CCTGGGCGAGTTTATTAGCTGTGGCCAGCTTTTAGAGCAAGTTTTGCAACCTCAGTTAGGGCCCATTTTCTTCCTCCTTTTCAGATCATATTTTATAAGCAATTTGTGAGAAAAAATAGAAGTCTCATGCTTATTTGCAAACTAAACTGCATTTTGCAATTCTATTTTGGGGAGGATAACTAATGAGAGGATTTAGGGGCACATACCCTGAAGCTATTTAAATTTATCAAACTTAAATAAAATTGGACATTTGCTTCTCAGTCCTGTGGGCCACCTCTGAGGTGCTCAACAGCCACATATAGCTAGTCCTATTTTATTGAGCAGTGCAAGTTTTAGAACATTCCTAATGGATGGCTGTTCTCAGCCCCCTCTGGAGAGCTGGGGACTTTTTTTTAGGCATCCTGTTGCCCAGGACCTAGAAAGCATTTTGTGAATGATTAATCCTGTTTTATCAGGTACACGGATAGGCAGGGAAATCTAACTGATATCCGGAAAACAGTGAGTTGCAACTTGTGGGATATTCCAGTAGGGAAAAATCTCACCTACAGAGGTCTTGGAAGATTATGTGTGATTGGAAAAACAATAGATGAGACAAAATAAATAATCATTTGACCTGGTTACTGGGACATGAGAGGTCAACATGTAACATTGGCAGATACATGCCAATAGCTAAGTAATACTCCAAGCCAATAACATAGACAAGGCAACCAGGACATGAATAGTTTCCTTGGTGAATCCTAACTGCTACATGGGAAATCTGAAGTATAAGCGAACCTGTGGATAGGTGCACAGTGGAAGGCATTGGTGAGAATCTAAACCTTGCATGTCATTTCGCTGTGGCAGGTGTGATCCACAGACCAGGGACAATGCTCAGGTTGTAGTGATGACGAATGGCGTCATCCCTTCCATCCCTAGATATGCTTGCCAGAGCCCTTCTCTGCTTCCAATATCACAGCCACATCTTCCTGGATGGGAAAATGCCCTGGTCTTCAAAGGAAGGTGGTCATTTAGCTTTCCTGTTGGACTCACTGAGCCAGCCCTGCGCTGGGCTCTCTGGTCATCATTGCCCCCGGAACCCAGGCTTCCCAGATCTTGTTCTGCAGGTCCAAGGACTGCCCACTCCCATATACGATTTAATTACCTCTGGCAAAGGAAGAGGGTAGATTAAGAGCTGATTAAAGAGCTTACAGAAAATACTTATGATTAGGAGAATCATCCTCTGGAAACCCGAGGTTGCACGAGACTGTCCTGCTGGGCAGATCAGACTCTGGCAGCCAGGCCAACGCACCGAGGACACACGGGGAAGGCCGACCCCATTGAGGTGCTGCCTGTGCAGGAGTCCAGAGAGCAGAGAGACACGGGGTCGATGTCCCAGCCGTTGTCCAAAAGGTGAACAGACGATTGCTTCCCACCTTCATGAGGAAGCGGAGTAGGGAGTGTTTATGAAACACGATTTATGTGACACCTATTTTTCTAGGTGATATTTTATTAATTAACATTTATTTACTAACACAGTGAGCTACCACCTACCAGGCACTTTATTCAGCTTTTACAAACAGAATCAAAGTTAGCAGGAAGGACACAGGCGGTGAGGCCATCTTATTTTCAAGACTGAGAGGGTGCGTGCGGGAGGTGGGTGAGTGCTAATTCCTGAGAGGAAGCCACACTCTCTCCCTTCCCCAGATTTGATCACAGAAACCTTCCCGCTACCTTGAGTTGGGAAAAGCGTGAGGAAGCAGCAAGCAGGGAGGCCAGAACTGTAGCCAGAACCATTACGGTTCAAGCCGAATCAGCTTCTGCTACTCAGGGCAGGGTCTTGATGTCCTTGTAATCTTGTGAACAGCTCTCCGGGGAGAGGCGGGAGGTCATTTGAATATGATTCATCTGGGCAAGGACTTGTTCTTCACTCAGCCCACAAATCTCCCTGTTAACCTGGCTGCCAAAACAGTGTTCTCTCCATAGAAACCTTCCTGGAACCTATGCAAATTGTGTGGAAAACCGGGGCCTTTGAGAGTATCATTTAAAAAACATGAAAAATATTTTCTCAAAGTACCAGGCCTTTTTTTTTTTTCATACAATTCTGTGAGTTAAGAGGAGTGACTCCCATTTTATTTATAGAGATCAAAATTTTGAGACATTAGCACATTATCTAAGTTATATAACTGAAATATTAAGAAAGCCATGTTCAAACATTGGACTTTCTGGTTTGAAAGAGGAGGCTCTTTCTGTTAAACCACATTATTCCAAGCCATCCTGTGGTGCGGTGGTTAGGGCAGCGGGATCACACATGGTGGACCCCACAGTTCGAGTCCTGGACTTGGCAGCTTGAGAAACACGCTATGTATATGTGTATTTGTGCCCAAATCCCTGAAAAGAAGGAAAGAGAGAAGGGGCTGTGGCATGACCACTCCCCATGGGGGGTGCTTTCTCATTTTCCCTTTTTCCCTCCCCCTTTCTCTTTCTGGGGAGCTCATATGCCCTCTGCAAATTAAGAAAATAAAAAAAAAAAACACGGTTCCTTTATCTTCTTCTGTGAAAGCAGAATTGTAAAAAACCTGAAAGCCAAGAAGGAAACCTCTCTGAATTCAGTTTTTGATGGGAGAATGCTGATTCACTGGTTTTTTTAAAAAGAGGAATGAATCAATCATCTACTACCTACATAACACCACGTGTCTTAGGGAGAACGTGTCTTAGTTTCTAATCAACAAATTCTCCATTGCCACAAATTCCAACTTAGGGTTCTTCAACTATTGTGACATATTGAGATTCAGTCATGGATTGCCACAGGAACAGGAGTTGATAACAGTTCAGTAAGAGAAAATGCTTAGAGGTGACAACATTGAAACCAGGCAGGATGTCCAGTTATATCCAACCAGGGTAAGAGACAAGAGAAGTTAGCATTCGGCAGCGTCGAGGGCTTCCTGTGAAAATTCTAGGGTTGTCTAAGACACGGGTCCACATTTCCCTAAATACTTCTTCATTTTTTTTTTTTTTTTGATACCCAGATGCAGACAAGGTGAGCAAGTATGGTAAAATAGGAATATATTAGGGTTTGAATTGTTTGAAAAAAAAAATCTAGAAAGCTAGCAAGTCTAGTCATGGGGGAGAAAAGTTTAAATTCCTAAAAGTATTGCCTGAGCATCGAGCCATGGGTTTAAAAATAATACGGAACCTAGTTCTAAAGAGTAGCAATTGTCATCATAATCATTTCTCAGAGCCTTGACGACATAGATCTATCGCAGTCCAGCAAGCATACTGTAGTTTAGGACTGATGCCAGTTCACTTCTTACTGATTTCCTACACTGAAATTTCATTTCTTAAGCTCTGTGAATAGATTTCTCTTGGCTCTTTCTGCTTCTATTCCGGGGTCTCCTATGATAATTATCAGTATGACGTACAAGGTGTTACCTCTCCGAGTGGACCTAGTTTCAGTCATAATCACATGGTGCACTTGCCGTTCAGTGAGCCAAATAGTGCAAACACTCTCCTGGATTGGTGGGATTTTAAATGTCCAACACGAATACTTTGTACCACTTCTATTTTTCAGTTAATCTCAGAATTTTTATCCCTTTTACTGGCTTCTTAGCAATACATATTTGAATGGTGTCATCTGTAAACATTCTACATTTTGGTCCTCTTAGTTATTTAACTATTGTAACCATAACTGCCAAAATTCAGCTTGCACTTATTGTGATTATTGTCTTTCATGGTGTTTTCGTTCTTTCTCCTTTTCTCTCTAAAGCCCTTTTAAAAAATATTTTAATTTATTTTATACATTCAATCACTGTACATCACTACAGCTTATAAAATAAATTTGCCTAACATGAATACACTTCACACCAGTCCAGTTGAAGATATCATAAACATAATCATCAACAGACAATCCTCTCTTTCTATGTCCCATAAATATCTTGCCTCTATTTTTCTCCTGATTCCTTTTCTCTCACTCTTTTCCATCTCCTGCCCTCTTCTGACACTGTGTCCAGAATCTGTAATCATTGCTCATTCTTCTCTATCCTCTACTCTGTCAGTTTTGACCATAGAATGTAGACAGTTGATATATATTAAGTGGAGACATACAATGTCTCTCTTTCATAGCCTGGCCTGCTTCACTAACCAGTATATCTTCCATATTCATTCACTTTCTATCAAATGCCACAGTATTTTTTTTTTTTTATGGCTCAGTAGTATTCCGTAGAATATATTTCCCACTCTTCTTTAATCCATTCATCTGTTTGTGGACATTTGGGTTGGTTCCACGACTTAGCAATTGTGAATAAAGCCGCAATACACACAAATGTGTAAGCACTTTTTCTACTGTCTACCTCTTTTTCTTACTCTCTTTCTCTGTCTCATTTTCCTTCTTATTATATTATCTGATATCTAGGAATTAAAATTGTACATGGTTTATATTTACTTTATGTCTTCATACAATTCTGTTTCTTTAATGGCTAATTGTTTTATGTAGATTTCTCATGTACATATTTTTTCTCTCTAACGTTTTGTGATAAGGTTCAATAACTTGATCAATTTTTGTACTGACAGTATATTTCCTGAGCTTTTGGGGGAAGCCCTTGTTTTCCTGACAGTCACTGGAATTCCAGTTCCATGTCCTTGGCCCCAGGCGTTGCCTAGAGTGGAGTGGGAAGCCTGTGAATGGAGCGTAGTCCTAGCAGGACTTGAGAGACCATGCTGCCTCTAGAGCCCCAGGGAGTAAAACAAATGCTGGGAGTGTTTACTACAGCAAGGACTGCTGGCCACTTCGAGGAACTGAAGAGGGCACATGTCTTCATTATTTCAAAGAACAAAAAGTAGTTTGAATCTTTTTTTTTGTTTCCTTTTGCCAGATGAAACAAGTCTTCTCTCTTGATAAGAACTGGTCCACCGTTCACTTGTCCAATTACTCAGTCCCGGGTTATGCACGGTGCTTGTCTCCTGGGTGAAGGACAGGGGTATGCACGATGCTTGTCTTCTGGGTGAAGGATTTCCTGTCCCTTTTGGCAGAAACACTGTATGTAGGCCACTGCCCCACTTCCACAGCCCCGGAGCCTCCCGTGAGTGTCTTCCGTGTCACAATTCCTAATTATTTTGGGAGAACTGAACTTGACTTGCAGTTTTATCCTGGGGGCAGATACTGGTGTCTACTGATACGAAAGTGCATACTTGGCACAATTTTTCAACAGCAGTTATTAATTACTGTCTGGCTATCACAAACTGCAGTGTTATTTAGCACATGTTCAGTTCAGCCTTACCCTCTTTGTGGGGAGATTATACTTACCTGCCCCAGTAATGTGGATTGGACCACCTCTTCCTTTAGCCCCTGAGAAGACATGTCCCACATTTACACAGATGCCTTTTCCATGCAGCAGGACCCTCCGAAAGCCTAGGACAGGGCCACTGAGATTTGTGAGCACACCATAAAGGTTTACTAGTAGTAGATGACAGGTGGTGTGGTGGTTAGGGTGCTGGACTCCTACATGGCAGACTGTGGTTTGAGTCCTGGACCTGGCAGTATGCTTTCTCACCTTTCCTATCTTTCTCTGTCTCTCTCTGGTGAGCATACATGCTCTATAGCAAATTTAAATAATAATAATAATTTAATTTAATAAATAATTTTTGAGAGATTTTTGCTATAGGGCACATGCACTGGTAGGGGGAAGAGAGAGACAGAGAAATGGAAAGCAAAAAATCACCCCCCAGAAGGGGTGGCCACAACACAATCCCCTCTCCTCTATTCTCTGCACCTGTGCCCAGAGTGAGTTTTAAGCCACCAAGTCTGGAACTTGAACTGCAGTCAACTACGCGGGAGTCAAGCGACAACCATTTTGCCATCTACTGGTCTTAATAATTCTTTAAAAGTAAAGGAAGTACCAGGTTTGGGAGTTAATTACTATAGTTAAAATTACTAATATAGAATTTGGCACAAGGAATAGAGTGAAGCCATTTAAAATATAGTAAAAATCTTCCCCCCAAACCTAAAATATATGCCATCCTCTTTAAGGCAGGACAGTGAATGTTAAAAGGCCTGGAAGAAGATAATCCATGCTGTTACTATGACAAACCTGTTGATTAAGCTCACTTTCACAATTTCTTGAATGTAGTTAAAATATCTAATGCACTTATGCGCTTGTTCGATGCAGTAGAAGGAGAATAAGGATAGCCGAGTTGATTGTTACTAATTATATCAGATAAACTGGAGGTCATAGGGACAGTCATGACACATTTTTCTATGTTTTACTATGCAAAAATGCATCATGGCTTTCCTAACAACCTAATATTATCTTAAGGGAAAAGAAAAAGAGATTACCATGTTAACATCAGGATGAAAGAAAAAGCTAGTCCATAAGTGTTGACAGTTGCAAGTTTGAATGATACCTCTGTGTCTCCTTGCCAACCACTCAGAGACAGAACTGAGAACAGCTCTGAACCAAAAGGCCTGGTGAGATTGAGATCAAGACCAAACCTCACGGCAAAGACCTAACAGGATCATGATGATGGCACCTTCTGTTAAATCCACTGAGTGGATTAACCTGACCCCAGATGACCCTTTCAGGCGGTCAGAATGACTCTTACAGTAGATGTGATAGAAAAGGGCATGTTCCTCCTAAGATCAAGAAGCTCTGAGTTGTAAATCGAGAATCCTGTCTGACACGGAAATGTGGATGGAGACACTGGCATATGAAGCTGATGGAATGAAAAAAATAAAAAATAAAAATAAACGGAAACAAGTAAACAAACAACTAACACAAAGCTTTTGACAAATGCACTTCCAACCTGGGCTAAAAAGAACTGTGACTCTTTGAGATAGAAAATTATCCTTGGGCACTCAAATTTTTACAGACAGAAAACAGTGATGCTCCCCCACCCCAGAAAGAATATTTTCTGATGCCTTTTTTAGATGTGTTCAAGGAGAAAATTTAAAAAGAAAACAGTCCCAAGGGCAAAGTCAAGACCCAGTGGGTGCTATGGACTAGGACGTATCCCCGTGGGTGAGAGCTTGGCCTGGCCCTTCTCTGACATCTATGTTGGGGCCCCTTGGTCAGTCTGTCCAGCTGGATTTCAGAATTGCTGTGGTGACCGCCATCATCTCCCTCTCACTCTTTCTACATGTGAGTATCTGTCGTGGTTGTCCTGTTGCCATACCAACATTGAATGCTGTGCGTTGTGGGAGCAGACAACTTGCCATGGTAGGTCCAAGTCTCTGGATCCAGAAGTCCTATGGCTGGGCCCCGTAGGGACTGTTCTGAGGGCCTGGGTTTCTCCAGGGCATGGTATCATGTTTGAATGGGATTTCCTGGTTTCTTTTCTGAGGATAAAGCAAATGTATTTTATGTTTTGAATCAAGTACATAGTTGTGACTAAAAGTGGGACGGCCCACTTTATATGTGTTGATTTCCGAGTGCATTGCTTTCTACAGGCCTCTGTGGCATGGGGTACCTTCCTGTCTTCCTTCCCCTGATTCAGGGCCTGATCAAGTGATCAGTTTTGACACCTGCAGCATGTCCCAATGCCAAGCGGAGGCTTTTGAGACAGCCCAGGCTTCAACTCACCTTATTGTGCTTCAGTTTTGGTCAAGAAAACAGGACATCTCAGATAAAATGCACTTCTTTTCATTCTTTTTTATTATTATTATTATCATAATCATCATAATCTTCTTTATATTACATTGGGTTACATATAATTTTACAGTGTATTGCATTGCTTTTTGAAAAGAGAATGCCATGCATGTCAGTCAATACAGAGACATTAATCTCCCCACTTCATCATTCAATATCTTTTCTGTTTTTTCCAATCATTAAATCCTAGAATAAACACATTTTGGAGAGACTCTGAGCACAGCCCAGAGGCTAAGTGAGATTTCCACAGCCGAGATCCAT